TGCGACTGCGACGTGGCGCCTAATGTACGTTAGCATCTGTAGTTTCCATTACGAGCTTCATAACTCAAGGAGAGAAAACCAAGTACAACGTAATTTTAATGACCGACACAAAGAGAGAATGCTCACTGAACGTTATTTATGAAACTTCGTTTCAACACAGCTGCTACGGCGGGGCTGGTGTCATGTAGATTTCGCGCCCTCAAAAATCCGAGTTTTTCCATGAATGCCGTTCTTTCTGAATGCCCAATGATCCGTATAAATGTCTGGGTTTGCAAAGATGGCCAGCGCAGCTTGCAACGACTTTTATTTTTACTGCTGCCACATCGAAATACATTGAGAATAAGATGAAATCCTCTTATGTGTGGCGTTGTGTTCATGGACACCTATCACAGCGAACAAGAATGTCTGTGATAATCACAAAGGAAAGTTCTTCCTAACCCATGTGCTGTTCCACAGTTTACACTGAAAAAGTTTTCGTCTTATTCGCCAACGACTCTTCTTTTTTCAGAAAGAGCGAAAAATTGAATAAAAAAGCCGCAGCAAAATTGGGTAGCTCTAACTAACAAAAATTGAAATTTTTTAACCTGTTTGGCCAATCTCTCGAAAGCCACTGTAATGTACGTTGATGTTGACGATATCGATGAAGTTGATACCACTATTTCACTCATTACGGCGAACTTCGGTGGTTGGAGGCGCCACCGCAGCACACACGTGGAGTCGATCCCCTTGCCCATGGCCCACCAAGCCTTCCATCCCTCCTGGGTCGGCAAATTTTTACCAGACTTCTCTGGAAGGATAGCAGCACTGGCTCGATCGACCACCGCGAATCACTGTGAAGGCCAGATATGCATTCATTCATCACCAACGATACTTAGTGAAGCTGAATGCATGGCGTATCCCTCAGGGATTGGTCAACGCCGAGAGCTTTATCCTCTATCCTTTTATTCTTCGCTAAATGCTGTTGAGCAGCTTTATGTTATTTTATACTTTCCTCACCTTAGTGAACGTAGATGAATAGATGTACATTTCATAGTTTTTGGCGTGCTCTAACGCTTTGAAGTGGGTAGACTTCAACAAATTTGATTTCAGGCCAATGCTGTGGAAACACTTCGCCACACACGTTTTTGCTACATACATAATACGTCGAATTGCGATTATAGGTTAGTGGAAAAGCCTTTCTTACCAGCGGTTTACCGTCCCATCGTGGCTAGGAGATGTTCCTAGGTGTCGGACTGCGATGTACAGCGAGGGTGATTTATCTGCCCGGCTGGGTCTCCCAAGCTGAGAAGGGGTCCGGCGTTTTCATCAGAACCCCAGTTAAGAGGATCAGCAATGCCAGGATTCACCACCGTTCTGGTACCAAACCAGTCGCATGGTGGAAAATCTCCCTCTCAACCACGGGGGCGACGACTACTTGTGTTGGTGGCGACCTGAGGCAGACTTTGGCTAGGCTGACCTCAGGACTCCACGAAACCACCACAGTAGTTAAGCCTGCAAAACTCTAAAAAAATTGAAATTTTGCTGGGACCCGCACAACCAGTGAGGGTGGGACGTCTAAATATCCAATTAAGGAAAAGCCGTTGATACATAGGATTCTGACGTCTGGTTTATCATCCAGAAATTCGAAGTTCGTAGTCTCATGGTCTGCAGTGTTCTCTTGAATTGGCTCAGTTGGTTTAGTTACATAGTTTAAAGCCTTATCCTGCTCTGACTGCTTGTCATGACTGTGTTTTGTGACAAAGACGGAATATATCGCTTTATGTCCGTTGCAACTTCTTGTCTATTCAGACAACACATCGTGGTCTAAAAATGTGTTAATTGAGATTTTTGCATATTAAGTTGTAACATGCATCCTTTTCGACTAATAGTATACCATTTCTTGGTAACTCCTCGATATCCTTTTCCCAGAAGATGGTGAATGGGACTCAAAGAATCTGGTGAGGGCGTTACTGACGTCGTCACAATTGTCGAACTTCTCACACTGGTAATGTTTCTGTTACCGCAAAAAGTGAGGCCGAGGGATTGAAAGGCTAAACTAAGATAATCGTAATCCAGCCAACAAACTGAGGAGCTACGGCTTCCAGAAAGGCATCGAAGAAAATCACTCTGATTTATTCAATACCCAAATGCTCTTCTTCTCATAAGAAATTAAAAAATACGGGTCAGTTCTCCCATTGGGTTCAATTCCGAAATACGATATATTATCTCGTCGGCGAAGTTTCAAAGAACACGTGGTTCGGACAGGAGAAAACACGAACGCGTGGGTAAATTGCCAACAATTCATTATGAACGCACTAGCGCAGCTTTACACACGTTACATGTCAGAATGCAAGGTTTTTATTCAATTGATGACCAGCAAGACCGTTATTATTCACGACAAATGAACTGCACGATTTCGGCAACTACCGCCCAATTTGCTTGCTGTCTGTCGTCTATAAACTTGAGTGCTCCTTAAGAGAACGAGTAAAACGCTGGATGAAGGAGAGCCATGTGAGAAAGCAGATTTTCGGAACCGATTCACTACAATGGATTACATCCGCACAAAAACAAGACTCATTGAAGCATCACGAGAGTACAACAGACCACTCTCTCACTTTTATCGATTTAATGAGAATTTTGAATCAGTTCAAACAGAAGCGGTAATGGGAACCCTAGACAGTTAGGTGTTCTTGCTTGGTATAAAAAGATTCTGCGCGAACTATATAAAATTCTACAACCAAAATACCACCATGCTAGACTGATATTAAAATCGACGAAAAAAAAGGTTAGGCAAGACGAATCTATATCGGCAAAGCAGTTTAACACCAACCCAGAGAACGTCATGCGAACATTGGAATGGGGCAACGTGGGACTGAAAATCGTCGGGAGGCAATTACGTCGTATTCTATTTTCTGATGATATCCTCTTTATAACATCAAGCATTAATATGGAACAAATGCTGGTCGAATTTGACAAACGCATGTGGAAAGATTGTTCTTCGACTAAATATCGCAAAGAACTATGCACATGATAAATGGATTGGTTTCATACTCCCTATTCACGATCTATGGAACGATCTATGATTGGAGGAGTTTCCATGTACGTGTCCAATTCATCCAGTGATAAGCTGCTATGAGTAGAGGGGATGTATTCCGCTTTACGTTTAGAATTCCTCCAAGATAGCGGACTACTTTATTGACCTATCAAAGGTAACCTAACGGGAAAATATAAGTGGTGCCTGGATAAAGTGGCGTATCGGTTGCCGTCGCATTGTCTGTGAGCACGGCAATGATGTTGACAAAGCATGACGAGTTTTGTTAATATGATTGATAACGGCGACATTAATAACGACATTGTCTTCGGCGGTGTGTTTGTACCTCGTCTCTAGCAATTCCGTGGTAGAATCCAGAATATATCAATCTTAGAAAGAGTGCTATCCGAACAGAAATTTTTTCGAACGTGAAGAAAGTAAATGTGAGCGATAACTGTATGAGATTTACGTTCCAGTTCAGTATATTCGGCTTATATTAGTTCGCATTGCAAAACGGTAGAAGATCACTGCCGACGTTCGTTGTTTAGTCCAACCTTGCAAGGGATGATAATGCCAACTTTATGCTGCATGGGATGCAAACTTTTTCTATAATTAATCGCTCACAACTTCCGTGAAAATATTTCATTTTCAGACAGTTTCCTACGTTCATGAGTGGCTACGCACACATCAATGGAACTTTCCGTGATTCGGATCTAGTTAATGTATGGTTGGAGCCAGAAGTTATTGACAAGGCATACCACACGGCGATCTGGTCCCGAGCTTATTTGGCAAGTTTTTGTCCTTTTCGATGCTAATTAACATCTCTCTTTTTTCGAAATTTTAGAACTGCTACAAATCAGTGGTTTTTGTGGTTTTACAGTTGTTCAAATTTTAGGAAAGATACCGCTTCACTGGCGCATGGTGTGGTAGTGAGCGCGTTGGCCACCCGGAAAGGGTAATACCGCGTTCGTTCTCCACCACAGACACCTGTGGTTCGGCGTTTTGCAAATATCTCAGCAACGCTGTGGTTGTACCTCTTCACTGTTGCTATGAAATTTGAACAAAATTTAAGTAATTTGTTGGCGTTCAATCGGCACCGTTGTGATTGACACCTGCTCCCAGTTAAACTTACGTCGATATTTGGAAAGTCAGTCATCACAAATAGGGCTGCCCTTGTACATCTTCAGTTCTTCTCTTTCTCGCACAGTCGTCGTCTATGGTGGTGGTCTGCTCCGACATGGCGGCGTCCACAAGCACATATTGTTACACAGAAATCGTTCTCATCAGCACGTCCAGGAAGTGATGAGTTCTCAGCATTACAGGTGTAAAGTCTTGTCATTCATGCAGAGTTCGACCATCTACGTAGAATTGACCGCATATCGAAATGGTAGGCTTGGAATTGCTCTTAGCGCGTTCTAGAAATGTACGGGCAGAGCGCTGTCTGAGCATGAATTGTCAGGCTCTTTCATGGTGATCGCATACATGGCGTCAAGTTGGCACTCTACGTGAATTTGAAACAATGGATTCGCACGTTATCATAATTCATTCCCTCTTTAGGTCAACAGTTGACAACGTCTTCTAGATTGTCGTAGATTTTGTATTAAGTGAAAACGATTAAATTTTATGCTGGCTAGTGTAATACAATTTAGTTAGCACACAGTACTTTGTCCAATCTGAAGATGCTGCTGTCTTCCGTTACAATTTCAGTTTCACTACAGCTAGTTTTTCAGAATGGTACAAACTTCGGATATGGCAACGGCACTGTGAAAAGTAGGCAATTTCGGTTGCCTCCTCTGTTTTTCAAAATCGCCATAGAAACGCCGGATCATGAGAAGATGATGGCTGATTGGAATAAACGTTTTCCGTACATGTCAGCAACTACACCGTCCAAATTTGCATAACATCAGTATCAATATCAGTCTTTTCAGAAACACGAGCAAACTGTCAATGGCAGACACTATTGTAATCACTTATAGTGAAGCAGAAAAAGCTGCTGCAGTGTTTGCGACCAGCAACGTGAGAAGAAGGTGTAAGTCTTTGTTGTGGAGCAACGCGGAGTTATTTCAGCTAGTTAGCTACATTGTACAGCCTCAATGTTGGCTGTTTGGATCAGCCTGCAAATTTTCCAAGGTATTAGTAAGATTTCTCCACTGATGTTCTTTATAGCAATTGAAGACAATTTGTTTCACTACTACTTGGGAGATGCTGCTATTCCGGGAGCAGTTCTCGAGCTGGTTTTTCCAAAATCTGAAACGTCTCACACGCTTTCGTTCTTGTCAGCATTCATCATAAAGGTCGTTTACGGTACGTTCTTTGTGGAAATTAATTGCACAGCTCTTGTTTAATACTTAAAATCAAGTCAAACTATAAGGGAACAATAATTTTTTCCATTATTGAGCTGGTACGAGATCGAGGTTGCTACGAAAGTTTTATTCGCCTAACGTTTTGGAGCCTTAGCCATTCTCAGAGCCGCGTTGATCCAGGTTGATGGCCCAGCTAGTCATTGTCGCGATGTGGATGTTCGTTGTCGCATCGAGTCGAATTCCGGACAAGATATGAAGGGGCAATCAATTTTTGTATCACGTCCATCATCTGTGCTTTCGTTAATCGTCGTAATAGCACTAACTCTTTATTTGTTCTAGTAAAGCGTCAGAGGTGGCAATTATGCAGCGTTCACGCGAAGGAAACAAGGAATATTTACTAACAGGATATCCTTGGGGAGCTCCTCGATATCGACGGTAAGGAGGAAGACGAGGATTTGTCGGGTTCTACAGGAATAGACGGGTCGATATTTTTCGGAAGTAGCTACAAACCAATTCCATTTGACCGATTCCCTTATGTCACATAACGTATTTCGTGGTTGAAAGGTCGCATGTATTTCAACACATTAGCTAGCTTGGGGCAACAGACACGAGCGGCCATCCTAGGAATCCATTTAAGTTACAGCTAGGTGTATGTTTATAGGTGTACGTTCGCTTCCTCTAACGGCATCACGTTGTTTAACTTGCAAAATCACACGGGATGAGTTACACTCCGCGTTCCATTACCATGAGCATGTAGCACGACGATTAAAAGTGCACTGTAACACCTGCGTGATTCTTCGTTCAATCCCGCGCTCCGGACAAGTGCTTACGTGGTTTGCTTAAGAATATAATAGCATGACTTTGTATGTCCGTGCGACACTGCAATTCATTGTAAAATCCAATTATGCATTCAATCACCTCTAACGATGACTGATGAAGTAGAATGTAAGATTCAAGTATTGTTGAAGGCAGAGAGCTCCTAACTGTCTTCTAACCTGTTTTAATAGAAAACAAATAAAACTATGGTATCTGCGCGATATACATATATGTATATATATATATATATATATATATATATATATATAAGAGCAGGTGTAGCAGTGGTAGTGATGCCGTTCATCACGAGCACGGCGTTGTCTCGCTCTCGAATTGGGCCTACCTGCCTCTCATCTGGGCAAATTTGGATCAGCAGACTTTCTCCAATCTATAGAAATTAGCGCTAGCAGTGGTGAAGACCTGGAATCTCCCTAGGAAGGCTATCTAGGGATTCCAGCGAGCATCGGCTCGACCAGCATCCAACGGTATTCATAAAGAAGACGAAACTTTTCAAGCAGCAGCCAAATTCACTTGCGAGAAGTTCGAAAACCGTCACGGATGGTGAGTGAGAAGAAGGAAATCAAATGCAGAAAGTGCTGGAATGCGCATAATATTATATATATTTAAATATATACATATATATATATACATCTGTGTATGTTTACATATGCATGTATACATATATGCATGTATATGCAAAAGCTCTTCCGGAAGTTAATGTCACTTTGAAAGCTATACTGTTGTGTATGGTTACAAAGTTTGTTTTATGGTCTTTTAGGCAAGTTATGCATATATGTCTTAGCTTTTAGCTAACCTGTGTATATTGAGCTAAGAAAACCTCATCCTCTTCCCACGGTATGGTTCAAGGCAAAGCGACCAATGCTTCTCCAGGCTAACCCACAGCTACAGAAGTTACAGAATTTAGATTGGCTGGTTTACGAAATTCTGCCTCGTTTCGCCAGATCACTCGTCTACCAACTATCACTTCTTCAAGAATATCGATAATCTTTTATACGAGGAACAATTTAGAAACAAAGCCGAGCCCTAAACTGCCTCCAGAGGCTTCATTTTCCCCTAAAGGTCCAGGATTTCGTGTAACCGGTAGGAATAAACTTGTCTCTCATTGGCAGAAATTTGTGGATTTTAGAAGTTCCTATTTTTACTGCCGAAATTTATTCTGGATTGGAATGTGCCGCTAAGAAGATGCAGGATGAAATCGGGCATTGACTTTCTGCGATCTTATATATATATATATATATATATATATATATATATATATGTGAAAGGACAAAAAAGATAAAGTTCTCGGCGTTGAACAATCCCTGTGGGATTCGCCATGCATTCGACTTCACTAAGCATCGTCTGGAGGTGACAGAATGCACATCTGGCCTTTACAATGGCTCGCGGTGGTCTACGGATGTATCGAGCCAGTGCTGCTATCCTCCCAGACAAGTCTGGTACCAAATTGCCGACCCCGGAGAGATGGAAGGCTTAGTGGGTCAGGGGCGCGGCAATCGATCCCAGGTGTGTGTGTTGCAGGGCGGCTCTGACCACTGTGCTACACGCGCCCTATAAGTATGTGCAATGTATATGTAAATAACACTTTAAGAAATAGCAAAGAAAGATAGAAAGAAAGATGACAAAAGTTCTATATTACTCGGCATAACAAGAGTAAAAAGATCGATTAAAAAATGCGTGAGAGAAAAGCAAAGCAAGGGCCTCGGCTGGTGTGGTGGAGAGCAGGCGAGCGGTAAGGGTATTCCCGTGTTCGAAGTCCACCTGATGTTTCCATTTTCTCTCACGTTTCAGCATCCCTGTAGTTCTTTGTTAGTTATTTATTTGTGTGACCTGACTTTAGATATTGTGGCGATCCCAATTAATCTTCCATTTATACGACTCCAATCATTGATAAATGTGTAAATGTCTTTGAATTTGCGTAAGCGTTCGGTTCTTACTTGGTTCTTTGTCCTCCACTAACAGAGATTAATGCTGGTCGGCTTTGGAATTCTTACTGAAATGTAGCGATAGCTTTGGTAGAGCGCTCCCAGGCGATAATAGCTGGCAGCCACAGCCGTTGGTGGAGGGTGTCTTTTACCAGAGAATTCTGGTACTAACTTGTTGACTCGGAAAGGGTGTATAGTCGGTTTGGTGCGTTATCTAACAAGCTACTATTTGCATGTTGCCGCACTGCGTCTCTAACCACTGGGCTCCCTGTGCCCAGGTTTTGTATAGTATTATTATATGGAATAGAAAATAGCCAGCGACTTTCGACAACAGGCTAGACGGAGCAATTTTTCTTGGAACCGATGTTTTTGCATTGCAGAGGCATTCAAATTCGTTCAACCACAAAATAAGGTAGTTGCGTTGACTTTAATGTCGTTGAATGCTCAACATATTGCCTTGCAAATGCTCAGAACAACCCGTGAATGGTCGGGTGATCCGAAGGTAACCTAGGAATTTTCGTTTCTAATGCAATAGTCGACGTACTTTTTGATTAAAATGAAGGGTGTACACCTGCGATTGAACAATCTGTTCTGTGAAACCAATAGCTTAGAGAATAATGGCGTAACGACTTTGAATATGTGCTTTTTTTTAGTTTTCATGATATCGCTGTTTTGTAGACAGAGTATAACTTTACTTCTAAGGATCCTTCACTTCTGGACATGTGGGAAGAAGCTTCACATCAAGTGATCTATCAATCATTTGACAGAGCGCCACCAAACATTACAAGGGTGGGAATAATTCCAAAATGCTAAACATTCTTACATAATGCAAAGAAAATCTTTCGGAAACTTTTATAGAAACAATTTGTTCTAAAATAAAAGATGGGAAGAACTGCAGATCTGAGATCTGTCGGTGCTGGAAGTTTATGGAAATTGCAACAACCGATCTCTACCCACCCACAACACATTTCAATTCTAGCAAATTGTTAAAAAAAGCTGTTTTGCTCTCAAATCGTTTTGGGCAATAACAGAATTATAAGAGGCATTTCCAAATATCTACCTTATGTTGAGAATCTAACCACGTAATTTTAAGCTGACGCCTCTCCAAATGGATAGAGCTGAAGGAGAGCTAAATATAGCACTGCACTTTCTTCATGACGCATCTGAAATTAGGAAACGGAACATTTGTTTTTGTGCAGGGTTGTCTTATTTCTGCCCTATGTTGCTAAGCAGAGTTGTGCATGCATCTAGTGTGGTTGTATTAGCATATTTCTTTATATTATATCCTGCACCTCGATAATGTAAAAGTCTGTAATTACGTAAGAATGAAATAGAAGATATTTCAGAGGCATGTTCTACGCATAACCAACATGTATCATTAGTGTCACCAGTCGTCCCGTTAATCGTTGAGTGACTTAATCCAGCGCCAGGAAACCTATTGTTTTCTGTTGTTTGCAAGAGTAGTTCAGTGGGTTCTGCTCACTCTAACTAGTCTTTGAGCATCGCAACTTTCTTCTGGGGTCTTCATGATCTGACCATCGCAACAGTGATCTTCCAGCAATATGTCCGACTTCTCGAGAAATCTAGCTCTTGTCCATCGGTTGTCCTTCATACGCATTACATGTTCGGGCCATTTTATCTTCGACAGTTAGGCGTATAGAACGGCGTCTTTATGTTTTGATCATCGACGTAGATTGCAGTCCTGGATCCCTTTCCTTAGTTGTGTGACACGGGTTACTCCTAGCATTTCCACTGTGCGTTCAATAACGCTGAGTGATCTTTCACTCTGGTTACCCAGAGATCCGGTTTCTGACCCATGAGTTAAGGCATGGAGTTGTGTCACGATGTTCTTTATTCTCTTCACTACATCCTCGATGCTCGTGAAAGCTCCTCAAGCCGCTCGTTTCCTTCTGCTCAACTCTGGAGCTAAGTGGTTTTTCCTGTTAGCATCACGACCTAGATAGGCGTAGCTGGAGCATTAGGAGATATTCGTTCTATTGAGCGCGAATAGAGCTTATGTGACCAAACCTTTCATCATGAGCATCGCCTTTTGTGAGGTGGAAAACCAGTCTTTCTACATGGATTTGTAAAAGTCGGCTATCATTTTTTCCGTATGGCTAAGGTTTAACGTTACAAGAAGGACGTCATCGGTAAAGTGAAGATGGTGCAATTGCTTACCATCGATTTTTGCTTCCATGTCGCATTTCAATGTTTGCACAACGTTCTCGAGGGTGGCGGGAAATAATTTTAGCCAGGTGGTATCGCTTTTCCTATCCACTCACATTGCGTTAATGTTAATGCCGTTATAAAATGGTGATGTTTTGGCTGTAAAATTTTTATATAGCTCACGAAGAATCTTTATGCACTTAGTAGGGACTCTCTGACTCTCAAGGACTTCCTTGGCTACTTACACCTCAATTGAGTCAAAAGCCTTCCTTAAATCGATGAAAGTGAGACAGAGCGGTCTCTTGTACTCTCGTGCTACGTGTCACTTGGTCCTGTTATCGTGTTAATACACCATTCTGAATTCTTTTCGAAACCCTGTTTGCTCACATGACTGTCCTTCATCTGGTGTTTAGGTTTTGTTTACAAACCTGTTTAGGACGACTGAAGTGATGGGTTTGTAGACGACAAATAGTAAAGAGATTGGGCGACGGTTGCCGATATCAAGGAGCTCACCATTCTTGAACAATAGCACGGTCTCATAGGTCTTCCATTGAGTAGAAATCTTGTATTCTGATAGGTAACGTGTGCAAAGCTTAGCCGGCCTGTTTATGAGGACTGGCGGAAGCTCTTTTAGTTGTTTAAATTTTATCCTCTCCTAGTATTGCTCCAGTTTTCACAGACGAAATAGCATGTCGGATTTCGAGACCGTGAACCGTATACCGGCATATACATCTTCCTTTTCATTTGGCATCTGCGCAGGAGGACTTTGCTGTTGAATGGATTAGAGTAGTAATCGTGAACGGTCTTCTTCATTGCGTTCTGGAAACTGGAACCGTTCCGTCTGAGCGTCGGAGTGCCATCATCTTGGTCTTGTAATTGGCGAAGCCTCAGTGAGCTTTGCGAATGCTCTTCCTAGGCTGTGCAGCTATGACTACAGCTTTTGCTGTTCTCCTTTCAAGACCTACTTTTATCGCCTGTCTGCATTGTTTTGCAAGTTCGGATGTGAGTTGGCGGTTGGTGTCTCTTGCGAATCGACGCTGGCATATCAGCTTGAGTGTTTCCGAAGATAGACACCTCTTGGCGACTTTTGAACTGTAAACTTTTATTGCGCTAACGTGACGATGTTAGATGAGCCGATTTGCATTTGTTAGCAAGAACGGCATTTTCTCTACAGCGGCCAAGTGAACTTAGTAAATTCCAGTTCATGGTGGTATTACAACCTCGTTTTTTGAATTCGGCGGCTTTTTCTCCTTTCCGCGAGAAATGGAATCTTGCACGAAGGAGGCGGCGACCTGATCCTGTGTAGAATTTTGGGACAACAGCGACATTGGTTAGGCAAAACCATCGGTTTACTATGATGTGGTCTATTTCGTTATGGTACTCTCCACTAGGAGACTCTCACGTCCAGCGCTGAAGGTGAAGCTTCTGGAAATGCGAGTTATCATGAGTGGTCTTGGTTCTTGGTCGTTATGATAAACTCGGAGAGCTGCTCACCCTGCTCGTTCCTTTCTAATTCGTGGGTTCCAATGTGACGTTATGTTCTTCAGACATTGTTCTTGGTTCAATCTTAGCGTTAAAATCCCCAATGATGACCTTGTAGAAAGTATGGTCTACTCTACAGGACATCTCCAAGTCCATATAGAACTCGACTTCGGTATTGGTTTACTTCTCTTCAATCGTAAGGGTTCAATTCAGGTTGTTAGTTGTTCGAATGAGTCGAAGCTCGGTGCCAAACCTGTGTTGATGAAAACGTCGACGCTGCCGCCTCTACTATCACATGCTCCGAGAAACAGTTCATCTCAACTGTTATAGAAGGCGTAGGATGGATGGCGTCTTCTCGTTTCATCCAGTTCGATGATGTCGTACTTTGTCCTTTTTGCCTTCTTGGCCAAGTCCTCTGTGCAAGACTTAGATGCAAGTCTGCGTGCATTGACGGAACAGATCGTCATCCTAGTCCTTTGAGATTTAGGCAGCCTATAACGGCGCTGAGATATTAGCAGCATCTGCGTACTCATCCTTCCCAACGCTGCCGCATCGGTAGATCTTTCAATGTAAGAAGAATGAGGCCCTACTATTTTACTTTGTTTAGCAGTCAATACACACGTATAGCTTGTTGAGCTCTGATTTTCGGAGCTGAATATCACCTGGTCTATGTAGCTTGTCAGTCTCTCCTAGACCAAACAAAGAAGCTTATTTGCTGGAAGGGGCTCCTAGCGGCCACGTATATACTTTCCTGTCACCTGATAGCATGTTTTTAGCCGAATTGACGCGTAGAATAGAATCCGCATAAAGGAGAACACATCCACACATGCACATATGAATTCATTTTCGTGAATGCGAAAGGTATGTGTCATATCGAGGAAATAGAAGAGACAGTCTGTCCTCTTAATCCACCTGCATCTCGGAGAAGCATAAGGTCTCTTTTGTTTCTCTATTAACCTCCTATCTGCCACCCGGGGATGCGCCACGTTACTTCGCGACTAACCATCACGAGGTCACTCTATGAGTACCATGTATGCTTTGGAAAAGCGCAACAGGTTGCCTGCCTATGGGAATAACCTGACTCATAAATAGAGCCCAACAGGACGGCCGTTGCGAATGGCTTTTGCTAAAAACAGAAGTTGACCTCATTCCCCTCTCTTGAGAGGATTTAGGTATAAAAAACAGATTGTTGTAGAGCCTTTTCTCAGTGCACTTTTGGAATGTCAAAATCTGCGACTGCGACGTGGCGCCTAATGTACGTTAGCATCTGTAGTTTCCATTACGAGCTTCATAACTCAAGGAGAGAAAACCAAGTACAACGTAATTTTAATGACCGACACAAAGAGAGAATGCTCACTGAACGTTATTTATGAAACTTCGTTTCAACACAGCTGCTACGGCGGGGCTGGTGTCATGTAGATTTCGCGCCCTCAAAAATCCGAGTTTTTCCATGAATGCCGTTCTTTCTGAATGCCCAATGATCCGTATAAATGTCTGGGTTTGCAAAGATGGCCAGCGCAGCTTGCAACGACTTTTATTTTTACTGCTGCCACATCGAAATACATTGAGAATAAGATGAAATCCTCTTATGTGTGGCGTTGTGTTCATGGACACCTATCACAGCGAACAAGAATGTCTGTGATAACTCGCAATCTCGCCCTATCCTTCACTCGTCAGAAATCTGATTTGTGAATCTTCAATAAAGAGAGCATAACGAAAGTAACTACATAATCACAAAGGAAAGTTCTTCCTAACCCATGTGCTGTTCCACAGTTTACACTGAAAAAGTTTTCGTCTTATTCGCCAACGACTCTTCTTTTTTCAGAAAGAGCGAAAAATTGAATAAAAAAGCCGCAGCAAAATTGGGTAGCTCTAACTAACAAAAATTGAAATTTTTTAACCTGTTTGGCCAATCTCTCGAAAGCCACTGTAATGTACGTTGATGTTGACGATATCGATGAAGTTGATACCACTATTTCACTCATTACGGCGAACTACAAAAAGCGAGAATTTCAACGCTATCAGGAAATCTCGTGGCGCGTTTGGCGCAGTGGTTGGAGGCGCCACTGCTACGCGCACCTGACCTCGATCCCCGCGCTCATGGCACACCAAGCCTTCCATCCAGGGTCGGCAAATTGGCACCAGACTTGCGTGGGAGGATAGCA